AGTTACAGAACTTGTTATATGCTTTCTTTATCCAAATCAGTGAATTAACACTGAGGTTGTGTTGATCTCGGATTTTACCCTTTATAAAATTGATTGAAGTGATATACTTAGTTGTGACTTTCGTAATATTAGTTGGTTGTGTGAAGCCGTTACGCAAAGTGAGAAAGTTCAAGACTTAAGAATCTTACTGGCTGTGGCAAAGATTTATTAGCGTGATCTCTCGAAAATCACGTTTTTTGAATGCAAGGGCTGTTAAAGGAAAAACCTCCATTTGGGGCGAAAACATGCACGAATATTTGTCCGCGGACATTATCTATTCCGAGATGTGAACAGTTTTTACGAGATCGAAGCTCAAGCAAAACTTTGAGCTTCGAGGAACAAAAAACATCCAAGGATACATATTCGAGCATTTGTTCTCACCAAATGGAGGCTATTGAGTTTATTATCCTTCTGCAATACTTTTGCAACGCGTGGATAAAATGTTTACGAACAATGTAGTGTTTGCTACCCGTGAGTAAAATGTTTACGAACAATGTACCGTTTGCTGCCCGTGGGTAAAATGTTTACGAACAATGTAATGTTTGCTGCCCGTGGGATGACGTTTCAGTGTTGCCTGGTACCACTTTATGAACAAACAAAAATGTTCCTTCTCCGGTAACAAAAGCTAAACGCGCTCTCATCTTGAATTAAATTTGAAACGAACACTTTTATCGTAGTTGATGTGAGGTTTGAAAATTGGGGAATATCACTTGAGGTACATCGTCAGATATTCAGTTTTAGCTAGGGCATATTTTCAGTGGATGCGTTTAGACCAATCGCATATAAGCGAGAAATATTTGATAGATTATATACAGTGATTTGTAGCAGCTGATGAAATTTTAAAGAGCCTAGGCCTGTTTTAAAAAAATTCTCTCAAACTGAGCGGTACATTCCCACATTTTGAACAAAGTTAAGGTAAAGCAAAGTTTCACTACGTATCGGTGAGGAGAAAAGATGGCAGTTTCTACGAGAAAAATGACTTGCTGTCATTATGTGATCTATAAACCAGACTGCGTGTCTCTGATCTTTTATGAGTGACTAGTTAGAAGCAAAGAAAAAAATAAATTAATGTTTTTGTTCTGATGTTTTACCTTCCAGCTGTAAGTGTATCAGTAACTGTACCAAATCCTGTCGCCGTCTTTCCCCTGAACAGCAAGTATCAAACAAGGGAAATAAAAAGTCGAGTTCCCCAGGGAAATCCTGTTGGCGTATCTTTAGCTAATGGCCCT